ATGGTAGGCTATTTTTTGTGGACCATGAAATGATGTTGGGCTTGAGATAGATATAGCTCGAAGTTGAGTTTATGTCTTTATTATTCTAGCCCAGTTAGTGTCTGCAAAAGCAATAAAGAAAATGAGCCATAAATAATAGGTAACCCATTATTAGGTGTTCCTTTTAGATACCTAAGAAGAAGTTTTGAGTTTTGGTAATTTAAAGTGGTTGGATTTTGCATGTGTTGACTCAATTAATTTACAATGAATGTTAAGTCCAGTCTTGTAACCATTAAATATTAAATTTACAATTAATTTACTAAGAAGTTTTGAGAAAGGTAGATTATGACTTTTGTTCTGATAACATTGATGAAAAATAAATCCAATAGAGAAATGTTAGAGGTTGAGAGTGAGAAATCATTGAAAGAATATTGTGGTGCAGATGTCCCAAATGTTGGTTCCATATGTTTGAGCCTTTAATAGTTGTAGAGTAGTGATGAGGTATAAACATTGATCAAATGCTCCAGTTAAAAGTACTTTCTTGTTTTTTAGATCTTAAATTTGAAATTGATTAGCATTGAGAATAACATAACATTTGTTTTCTTTAGCGAGTCTATTTATATATATGAGATTGTGAGAGAGTTTGGGAGCACAAAAGAGCAGAGAGAGAGAGAGAGAGAGAGAGTCAACTTACTATCAAGAATGGGAAAATAACCTTACCAGCATGTGTAATGCCTTTTCGTTGTCCATTTGTGACAAGAACTTGAACAAAACCTTTATGAAGTGTTATTTACTGTAGGTTGCTCAAATGTGGGGTGGGATGTGTTGTTGCACTGGAGTCTAATACAGACTCTTGCGACTGTTGTTAAAGGTGGGTGTTGACTGATGTAGCTTGAGAGTTGGGTAAGGTTTTGTATTGCAGATTAGATTTGTGCCAGCATTGGTAAGCATAATGACCCTTTTTATTGTTTATTTGAAAGATCTCATTTATTTTATTTTTGGGCATAGTACTGGTGTTGAAATTTTTATTGTCAGAGAAGCTCTTGTTAAATTTCTTGAATTATAAAATCCCCCTTTGTTTGATATTAAAGTTGTGTGTTGTGAGATCTTGGTGGATTTGTTTGCCAGATTACACACTTCGCTATGTAGCAGGGAGTACAAGTCCTCCAATGTGATTAGATTTAATGTGGTGCGAATGACGGTCTTAAATCCTTAATAATTTTCGGGGCAGTTCATTTAAAGTATAAAAAATTATCTTATATATCAACTTTGGAGCATTGCATTGCAATATTGTCCACCAGGTTCATGATTATTGTAAGATATTAAGTCATTGTGTTAACTCCCATGACAGTATTGTGGAGTTCATTCTTAAGTTGAATGACTCATGTTCTTTTTTGTGGATTGAAGTCTTTGGGCTAAAGTTTGGCAAATTTCAACGGAAGTGGTTATATGAAAGATGCAGGAAAAGATTATTGAGTTAGGTTTTTGTCAATTAATTGCGATAAAAGATAATCATTTATTTTCAATTTGTGTACCAATCTCATTAGATATAAATCTTGGTGGGTGAGATGTGCTGTTGTCAAAAAAAGATTCAAAGCTATTTGTAGTAAATAATTTTGATATTTATACCTTCCAAACAAGGTAATTTTTTTGTGTGAGAGCCATTGTAAAAGTGTTTTTGATTTGTGACATCAAGAATTTGAGGAATGTTGGAATGCAGATTCCATGATCTTGTTGAGCTGGGTTGCATCAAGCTGACGTTCTTGCATATATGTGAACAAAATTAGAGTCCATCTTTGCAAAAGGTTCTACTGCTCCGATACCAAGTTGAGAAAATAAAGAGTAGGAAAAAGAGAACGGAGAAAGGAGACTGACGAAAGCCCAAGCCTGCAGAAAGATAGGTGGAATTATTTTTATTTCCTTCAAACTACATTATAGCTTAATAGACCCTCTTATTTATAATCAAATGACTTGGCATAAGTGTAAATATAACCAAGGTTAAATAAGACTTCTTACACATAACACTTGATAATATAAAGAATCTTTTAAGAGGGAAATCCCTAAAGCTAGAAGTGCCTTTCGAGAGAGCTGCAGCTTCAAAGAGAAGTAAGATGCCAGAAACATAAGATCGAGATGTAAATCTCCCACCATCCATATTAACATTTAAAAACAGAAAATAAGTGGTTAGTGAAAAAAATTATGAAGATATAATGGGATATACATGTTGTCACTTATTTTCCTACATATTTACATGTATGCCCATAGTTTTTTCAACTATATTAACTCATGCGGATTTCCTTAGTATGAGAGTGAAAACAAAGAGCAATTCAATAGAATATTGAACCAATTGAGAAATGCTAGTCCATAGACCTGTACATTTGCATTTAATGACTTTTATTAGCCATATGTTTTTCGTTGACTTTGCCGGATCATGCATTGCACGTCACTCTTTGTTCCCAAAAGAAATATTTACATACATAACACTCAATTCTTGTTTTAATTTTTACCTACACACCATCTTACCTTTGCATTTAGGGGTGTAAATGAGCCGAACACGAGTGAGCCCACCTTACCTTTGCATTTAGGGGGTAAATGAGCCGAACATGAGTGAGCCCAGGCTATGCTCGTGTTCGGCTCGTTTATATTTCGAGCTCAAAAAGTGTGTTCGTGTTCGACTCGTTTGCTTAGTGGGCCGAACACCAGCCGTTCACGAACAAATAGTCGTTTTGACAACCCTAATCATGTAGCTATAAGATGTTAAGGATTGTGGCAAGATTTAAAATATCATTTGAATTTAATTTAATAAATTTTATTCTATTTTTTTAATTAATACTTTTAATTGATTATAAATCTTTTTAGCATTGTAGTTCATTAAATTTTTTAAAAATACTATAAATTTTTAATTGATTAGTAGTATTTCGAGCCAAAACGAGCCGAACACGCACGAACAAATATTTATTCGTGTTGTTCGTGTTTGATTCGTTAACTTAGCGAACGAGCCGAACACGAGCTTCTTAACAAGCCAAACACGAGTTGTTCGCAAACAACGAACCGTTTTGACAGCCCTATTTGCATTAACAGTTAAAATGATGGCATTTTTAATATGAAAGATTTGGGTGGCATAAATGCAAAAAAAAGTGAAAGTTTGGTACTAAATATGTAAATACATAGGAATTAGGTGGCATGCATGTAAATTCCAAAAACTGTCATTAATCTTCGTGGTTAAGAAATAATTACAAACCTTCAACCATTTAAATGTGTGTAATTAAGTAAAGCTAATCAAGCTTAAATTTCACTTAATAAATCACTTAGCTGAATCATCTGAACATTGAACAGAATCCTTTTTTGTTTTTATAATTGTTGACGAGTGACTGCGTAAGGCATCTTATTTTCATGAAAATGACTCTTAAAGATAATCTTAAATACTAATATTAATTAGTTTAAAATGATTATTTTAAAAAGAAATTTAAAAATAGGAAAATTTACAAACATACCACACAAGTCCCATGTATTTACATGTCTCTCACAACCAAATTTTTATATTTACAATTAGGGTCCGTTTGGGGCCGCTTATTTTCCGCTTCGCGGCCCCAAATCACAAGGTTTCTCCTTTTTTTATTCGCTTGAGTGCGGCATTAGCGGCGGGCAGCTAAATTAGGCGAAACGCGAGTCACGAGATCGGCCCTGCGAACCTGCGTTGTGATCTAATAATACCGGCATCTTGGCGTCGTAGGCCTATCCATAAATGTGCGCACATACCCATGTTGAAACTCATGGTTCATTGATGGGGGAATTTATATAGTCCATAGATGGTACGGATTCAAAACACATGCTAACACTTTAAGTATAAGTATACTACATTTAAGACTTATCTTCCCCAAAGAAGATCGGCCCCACGACCCTGCATTGTGATCTAATAATATCGGCATCTTGGTGTCATGGGCCTATACATAAATGTGCGCACATACCCATGTTGAAACTCATGGTTCATTGACGGGGGAATTTATATAGCCCATAGATGGTACGGATTCAAAACACATGCTAACACTTAGTATACTACATTTAAGACTTATCTTCCCCAAAGAAATTTTTTTTTTCTTAAACAAAGGAAATTGCGTGCACCTGCCCCCTCAAAACATATCTACCCTCTACCAAACTCCTTTTGATTTGACAACTCATTTCTAAGCACATTTTGGTTTTTTATTGCTAAAGTGCAAGTTTTTTACAACTAAATTTACTTTTATTGCACCAAACAATCAAAATAATTAATTTTTATGACAAAGAAAGTTTAATTCTTACATGCCATCATGAATAATTGATTCTAACATAAATAGAATAATATATATATTTTTTTTTGAAAAAAAATCCTGAAGTTTAACTTTAAGCTTGTGAGTTTCAGGATTAACCACTTATCTTGAATTATGGTCCGAGGGGTTTGACCCGCAGTCTGTATTTAGTGTAAGAACCCAAACGCAGTTTCAGATAAGTTGGCGAAACACGCGAACCAAAGGGTACGACGGCGTTTTGAAACGCCGCCTGCATTTATAAGCTGCCCCAGACGGGCCTTTAGAGTGCGTTTGGGGCAGCTTGTGCGCTTCAGGATAAACAACTTATCCTGAAATGAGGCCCGCGGGTCACCGCAGGGGTCGACTAGCTGTCTACGTTTAGTATAAAGATGAAATTGGGTTTTCGGATAAAGCGGGCAAAACGCGCAATCCAAATGACACCGCGACTTTTTTAAAAATACCCCCGCACTTATAAGCTGCCCAAACGCACCCTTAATTGCGAAACCAATCTTTTAAGTTGCACGTATGGAAGGGATAAATAGAATCTTTAAAGATGGTTTAAGCTATAAAAACTATATTTAAAAGGCTACATCTGTAAATTTTATTAAAAAATTGTAATTTTAAGCTGTAGTCAAATAGGAGATGGTATGAATGTAAATAAAGAAAATAGGAAGTACTAAAGGGGAAAAACGCAGGCACGCATTCCCAGACCGAAATTCAAACCAAGTGGCGCCCGCATGAACCAAATCCCTCCAAGATCCGATTTCTTACCTATTTTAATTAAGCGTCACCTAGAGCACAGCAAGAACTCAGTATTGTTTTCAAAAACCCTAACAAAATCTCCCACTTCTTGTAAGCCGTCTCAGCTCTTCGTGGCTCCTAAATCGGAATCTCTAACTGCAAGTCAAAAGAAATTTGCTCGACTACAATCTTCCGAGTCTCGTTGCTTCTCCACTTGTCGTCGGGCTAAGGTTGGTTTGGTTTTTTCTTCTTCAAATGCTGCAAGAATTTCTCTTTCTCTGTTATTTGAGCTTGTTTCCTTTTTGTTGGCGGCCAAGATCCTTCTTTTTTGGTGATGCCTACTAAGCTTTGGGTGCGAACAGGCTAATCTTCTATTTGTCTTACTTTTGGCTCCCTCCGAATCTTCGATTTTTACACAATTCAGTGCGAACAGGCTAATCTTCTATTTGTCTTGGCTCCCTCCGAATCTTCGATTTTTACACAATTCTACTTATCCTTGAAGTGAAAAAGATTCTTCATCTACAATCTTTGAGTTTTTTTTTTTTTACGAGTTTTTGACGAGATACAGGGAAATTAGGAGTTCTGAAGGAAAAAAAAAGTTCTTTCATTACTGTGGGGAAGAACAGTTGGAGAAGCAGGAAGATACGGAAGCTGATAAAGTGTTGTTTCGGGTTTGTAAACTTCTTGTTCTTCTTCATGTTCTGAGCTTTTCTGAATTTGGATATGTTTGATTTTCTCCTTTTATATCTGAGAAGTGACTGAAATTAAACGTTTTTTTAATTAGAATCACCTTTCATAGAAATTTTCTGGAAGGTTGTCATTATTCGTACTGTTAGAAATGGTCCTTTTAAATGGGAGAGTTGCAAATATAGGCTTAGAGTATTTGGGCTGATATTTAAGCTTTATTCGGGTTTATATGGAAAAGTCATCAAAGACGTGCTTTTTACTCTGAAGTACTTAATTGAAAAATATACAGACTAATGAAAGGATCTTTAATGATTATAATTAGAAATAGTGTGCAGTGACTAGAGTATGTTATCTTAATATGATTGTAGTATTAGGATATACATATTCTTGTAAATTTTTGTTTATTTGAGAGATGCTTATAAAATATATTCAAAATCAAGTATTTTGATGTATGTTATTTATAGATAGCATATTTTTAATAGATCAGGGATATTTTCAAGCGAGCAAAATGTTAGAAATTTGAAACAAGCTTAAAAAATTACATGGATAAGAATTAATTTTATTAAGAGCATGTAATTTATATATAATCTTTCTGTTAATTTAAAGTTGATTATTTTCTATGTTATTGTTCAAATCATTAGTGATATTTAGATGGATTATGTTCTTTTTATTGAATTTGTTTTACAAATTAATGATAATTGTGATGATTATGTAATTTCTATATTTAAAGTTTGATGATTTAAATAATGAAATGCTGAGTTATTTTGCAAGAGGAAATTTGATAAAAAATATAATGAAAATAGCTATGTCGCATGGATTGTATTGTTTGGCTAATATGAAATTGCTGCCAGTGAAGTTTAGGATGTTTAATATAAGTGACAGACATGTGAAGAATATAATTAAAGAGAGAGAGAGAGAGAGAGGAGAGACAATGAGTATAAGTTTTAAATATTGAGGATTAGATAATCAGAAATAATGTTGGTGAAGTTGGCATCAAGCTCTGTTATAATAATTATATTATTAGGTATTTAAGTCGCTTCTACTAGTGAAGTTGAAGGCGATAATAAGAATATATGATAAAAGTAGGAAGAATAGGGTGGGGATTTGTTACATTAGAGAGAATGAGAGAGAAGTAACAACCATTGAAGATTAGATAATACAAACTAATGTTTGGGTAATTTGGCATCTAGCTTGTTTATATGGATTATTTATTAGGTAATAATATGAATATGATAATGATGTATATATTGTGAAGAAAAGAGTGACGACTGTTTATATTAAAAAGAAAATTGAAATAGCAACTATTGAAGATTAAATAATAGAAAAAGAATTGGGTGATTTAACATAAATAAGTGAGGTAGAAGATGCTCTAGGAAAAGATTTAGATAGAATTAAGGAAGATAAGAACTGACGGACAAAAGAAAACATGATTAAAATTTGCTAAAAGTTTTGCAAGATATAGAGTTAACGGCTTCTTGTAAGTTTAAATAAGATTGATTTGAAAGTTGCGTGGATAAGTTTAATGATGATGGCTGGTATTATATAAATACCTGCTATCAAATGCTTTTTGTTTGTTATTAACTCTACAAGATTTACATATTAGTTGTCTGGTTCATAGATTGTGTTAATATTTTGAGAATCTAGAAAACAATGCAACTTTGACACTTTATAAGTTCCATTTTCCTCACAAACCTTTTTCTAACAATTTTATTTAATATAATGTTTCTTTTTTTTTTTTTTGGGCAAAAAGTGCTCCCTCAAATGAAGTTCTTTTTATTTTTATGTAACAAATTGTTATCAATGTTTTATCTTGAATAGCATTTCCAACCTTTTTTTCTTTTGGCAATCCAAATGGTTTATTTCTTTTGCAGTGATGCCAGATATGGGCAGAAACCTCAGCCCATTGGTTCAGGAGGAGTTGGAGAAACTTGAGAAGGATGCTGAGAGCCGAAGGCTAGCCATGAAAGCCCTCAAGTCATATGCTACAAACATAGATACTAAGGCGATTCCACAATTCCTTGCCCAAGTTTCAGAAACTAGCAACCAAGGCTCGCCATCTGGAGAATGCACAATATCGCTCTTTGAGGTTCTTGCCCGTGTCCATGGACGCAACATTGTTCCACATATTGGCAGCATCATGAATACCATCATTCGAACCCTCTCAACAAGTGCTGGATCCTTTCCCCTTCATCAGGCATGCTCTAGAGTTGTTCCTGCTATTGCGCGCTATGGAATTGATCCTTCGACTCCTGATGATGAGAAGAATAAGATCATTCAATCCCTGACTATGCCTCTAAGCAATGCTTTGATGAGCCCACATGAGAGCCTTGCTTCAGGATCTGCATTGTGTCTGAAGGTTCTTGTTGAATCAAACAACTGGAAATTTGCTTCAGATGATACGGTCAATGATGTCTGTTTAAAAGTAGCAGGTGCTTTAGAAGAAAAGACAACTCAGACAAATTCGCACATGGGCTTAGCCATGGCTTTAGCTAAGCATAATTCATCAATAGTCGAAGCATATGTTGGATCTCTAATTCGATCTGGCCTGCACCTATTGAGCATAGGAACCTCAGAGAATAATTCTCAGAAGCGTTTTGTAGCCATTCAGATGATAAATTTTTTGATAAAATGCATAGACTCACGTAGCATTTCATCTGAACTCTTTGATGTAGCTGATGCCATGGAGAAATGTCAAGCTGATCCCATGGCATATGTTAGGGGTGCTGCATTTGAAGCATTGCAAACTGCAAAGGATGTAGCGTCACAAAAAGGGTCTAAATTTGACTTATCTTCCACTCCTGTCAATCACCTCAATTTCCATAGAAGAAATGAAAAGAGCCCACAAGTAGCTTTAGATAAGCTAGGCAAAGGATCTCATGTTGAATTTCCTACTCCTGAATCACAGTCTATTGCTTCTTCAATATACAATGAAAATTTCACCGTGTCACCAAGTTCCATAAAGCATACTAATTCGAATAGCGAGTATATTGGAAAGCATGCTCAGAGGAGGCTTTGGAACAATGATCTTGGTGGTGTGGATCTATCTTTCAAGGATAGTTTCTTACTAAAGCCATGCCCAAGCAGCAATTTAGCTGAAAATGTTGAAGGCCAGCAGGCGAGGGATGATCAGCGCCATCAACTGAGCATGGCAGGTAATCAGCATGCCGAATCCTTTACTGGATTTGTGTTGAGCAACGTAGGAAACACAGAAAGTCGAGATTCCACACCTAGTCCTCAGGTACTATCTTAATGCATTTATATTTCTGTAACTAATCTTCCTTAACAGACATGTAAATTGCTAAAGTAGCAAGTGTTCTTGCTGTTGCTTCAGAGTTCACAACATCAGCTTCTTTTGGATGACATAAAGATATATTCAACTCCTCGAAAGCTTGTAAGATCTCTACAGAACCAAAGCGATGGTAAAAGGGAACTCTCTGCAATTCTAACAAGCCCTGTTTCATGCAAAGTGCAACATGAACCAACAGATGAGTCTTATTCCCTCTATTCTGATATCAGCACTGTGAGCCAGCAGAAGTTTATTACTGATGCCGTAGAAGTTTGTCAAAGCGTTGAATCAGTATCATCAACCGTTGACCCAGCTGACGATAAAGGTAGCGAAATGAGTGGCTTATCTGCTGATACAGAACTGAAGGGAACAAGGATAAATGATATAAATAGAACATCCTTTCTCGTATTTGTTGCTGGCCTTGCAATGATATGCCTTGCCATTATAATGTCAATACAAAGAGATGATGATGTTGATCAGTTTTATTATGGTCTGGTTCCAACCTGATATTCTGCCGTGCGTTTAGAGACTATCCTACTGGGAGCTGGTTGGCATAAAGTTGTAACAATCTAAGCTGTTTTTAGTACAGAAATGTGGAGTTTTCTTCTTGGTAATCTGAATTTATTCATTCCGTTTCTGTTTTTATTTCAGATTATAATTAGTCTTTACATAGAAGTCGTTTCTTCCATTCAGACTGCATCATATGCCTTAAGATTTAGGATTCATTTGGCAAAGTTTTTAAAAGGTTTTTTTTTCCAAATTATTGTGAACAATGTATTTAGAAAATAAATAAAGACAGTATTTTTTTCTAAATACAGCAACAACAACAAAGCCTTAATCCCACTAGGTGGGGTCGGCTACATGAATCCTTTTTCTCCATTACGTCCTATTTAGTGTCATATTTTCATTTAGTTCTAGTAAATTAAGATCATTTTTTATACAATAAGCCCAAATACCTGTGCTGCTTTTAACACAAGTCGAATCTAAAACATCTATTCTCCTAATCAGATCATCAGATGGTCGACTTTTAAGGTGACCAAACCATCTAAGACGACTTTCTCTAATTTTGTCCATCACAAGAGCTACACTAACCCTATCACGGATATATTCATTTCGCATTTTGTCTCTAAGTGTAAAACCACTCATCCACTTAATCATTCTCATCTCGACAACACTTAACTAATTATTATGCTTCTCTTTTAAAGGCCAACATTCAACGCCAAAGAGCATTGCAGGTCTCACCACCGTCTTATATAATTTTCCTTTTAGTCTAAGCGGTACTTGTCTACACACAAAAGGCCCGAAGCATTCCTCCATCTCAGCCAACCAACTTGAATTCTACTATTAACATCCCCATCTATATCACAATCGCTTTGAACAACAGACCCAAGATATCTAAATCGTTCACACCTTTTAATAGTTTGATGGCACAAAATTTACTTTTCTATCACACAAAAGTCACATTTCTGTCACTAGAGCTACTACTACTAAAATTACATTCCACGTATTCAATTTTAGTTCCACTTAAATGAAGGACTTTAGACTCCAATGTAGACCTTCATAATTCAAGTTTTTCCTGGGCTTTTTCTCTCGCATTATCCACGAGAAAGATATCATTAGCAAAAAAACATATTTTTTTGTAAATGAGTATGCTTTATTTAAGTAGAACTAAAATCCTGACATGAATCCTTTTGATCATTGTGTTATTTTTTTTCTAAATGAATGAGTTTAATTTATTTTAAGAAAATTTGCATACGGACCGCACTTCTTATTTGTTGACATATCTTACACAAAAAATTTGATATTTACACTTATGATATCTTGGTTTCATAAATTTAGTCTTAAAAATATGCATTTAATTTTTGAAAAGTTATTGGTGATATTTTAGATTTGTTGTCAACATTTCAGTGATATGGATGTAAATATGAATGTTTAGTCATACGTAGATAAATGTCCGTTAGTGTGGGTTTTGTATCATTTCCTTTCAGGGGCAGCTGTTATATTTCAGTTTCATTATAGTTTATTTATTTATTATTATTTTTTATTGCATTCAAATTTATTGAAATATGTTAGTTAGAAAGCCTAATAAAAAGTAACTTTAAAAGTGAAAATTTAATTTTTATTATAGCACCCTTTATGTAGATGATTGCATTTGCCTCAAAAGCTTAATAAAAGAAACTTTAATGAAATTCATTTTTTTTAAATTTTTAAATTTCAAACATTGATATTTAGAATATTATTTTTGATACAAAGTCCTTGTGACAATTTATTACAAAGATTCCAATAATAAATAAAAACTTGAAATTAAAACAAATTTTTGCCAATGAAATAAATACACAATAAACAACAAAATATCATGTATTTTGTGTTCATATTTCAGGTCCTCTACAATTATTGTGAAAACTACAACTTATAATTTGTGGAGGTTGAGATTAACTGGAAAGAAATCAAAAGCTTTTATGAAATATTTTGTATATGTCCCAACCCAGAGTGAATTTCACAACAAAGAATTGGCATACGATGACAATTGTAGAGGAATTGAAAATGATTGTCCATAAGCCTAACACATGAAATGTGGATAATGTTGAAAGTAAACAAAACAATGATCGGTGCAAAATAGTTGATTTGATGAACGAAGTCTAAAAACCTTCAAATGGGTGAAATACCCCAAAGTTTTATTAAAAATGTAGTGATTTAAGTGCTTAGAGTCTAGCATGGTTTCCATGAAGATCCAAGTAAACTTCAACTAAGAAAGCTAAGTATTATTTCACAAAACATATGTTTTATTCAATTAAAAGGGAAAAAAAAATTATGAAAGAGCTTTAAATGTAAAAATTTAAATTTAAGTTTTTAAATTTACAAAGTATCAAATTAAATTTCATAAATTATATGTTTTAAAACAAGGTTTTTATCAATCGAGAGTAAAATTAGCATTTAGTTCTGTTGATTACTAGAAACTCTAATTCTGATATCCCAAAATATTATATATCTTTGCACTATGGAATAATGAATTCACTATAAACCTATTGATTGCTAGATTTTAATTTATATACGTCTGTTCAACCAAATTCCTCTTACTTCGCTCCTTTTGTTCATTTGGACCGTTCATTAACAAAAAAATACAATTCATTTTAAACACATATATGACCAGTTCACTGGCTATATTAGGTTTAAAGAAAAGTAAACAAATATTTGCAAGATTTAAGCACCATAACACAAAATTTAATGAAATCTTATTTGATAATTCACAAAGCCAAAGAGAGAACTCTTAGCCTATCATACTCTTAAACAAAACACAAAAAACTCTCTTCATTTCAATCACACAAGTATAAAGGTACATTATGCTCTGGTGAAATCCTTCTCAACTTTTTCTCCATGCTCTCCTAATCTTCCTCGCACTCTCGCGCTCTCCTTTAAGCTAATTCACACATTGTCGCACTCACTAAGAAAAATTACATTACCATGTGTCCCCTCCAACACACCCTGTTTTAAGTCCTATCAACATCCATAGCTTATCTTCTCGCCTTTGAGTTCTTGCTTTGAAATCAAAAAGTTTTCTAGTCGAGTTGTCGACTGCGGCATTTTAGGTGTAGCGTTTTGACATTTAGGTAATGCTATGATGCTCAAAATATAATGTTGAGGCACTAAATTCTTTATCTTCTGGTTTCTATTTCACTCTATAATCGCACTGCAATGCTTGACAAAGGTGTTGTGGTGTGTTGATCTGCCTTTGTGGCACCTTTCTCTCAAGAATTTTGTTAAGCAAATTTTAACATAATGTTGTGTAATTGATGGTGGCATTGAGGCACTATCACTTCAACTCCTCAAAATCTTTAATCCTTCAATTCAAAAGGTTTCCTGCTTATAACACAAAAATTTACATAATGTTTGTATATAATATTAAATTATGAAAAATATTTTAGGCAAAGTCTTGATATTTTTCTCACTAAATAAATCCCCAAAACCCAATTTTTATTTATCTTCAAGTATTTAATTATTATAAGTTTATGTCATAGACCAAGTAAGTAGTCATATATTACGATTCAACTCCCTCTTAATGATATAGTGAACATATAACTGAAGTTCACATTAGCTTATTAGCTATGTGAATTTCTAGTGACTAATAATATCCTAATTCTTACTAATATTAATATTCTTATACCACAAAATCCTTTAGTACATGAAGTGGGTGATTGGTTAAAGCACATTTAATTAACAAAAATTATAAAATTTTAATTAATCATAAGCTTAATTTAGATGTTTTCATTTTAATTGCAACACTCTTAAACTAGATTGAAGAAACTTTAAATTATTTAAGTTTAAGGATAGTACGGGTACTATTTTTTTTTTATACCAAACCTCGAGCTCTTTTTCTAAGCTTATATATATA